ATCATGGTAATGGGAAATGCATTTGAGGAGCACTTGACCAGCCTTGAAGAAGTCTTTAGCTGAATGAAGGAGGCAAATTTGAAGTTGAATCCGAAGAAGTGCGTCCTCTTTCAAAAAGAAGTAGAATTTGTGGGGCACACTGTTTCGGCAAACGGGTTCACTACTACGGGAACAAAGATCAATGCGATTCGCGATTGGCCAATACGACGAGATGAGCACGAAATCCGGAGTTTCCTGGGAATGTGCACGTACTACAAAAGGTTTGTCAACGAGTTTACTGATATTGCTGCTCTTCTGCACAGGCTGACGGATTTGAAGTCCCAGTTTGATTGGACTGCTGAATGTGAGACAGCCTTCAAAAAATTGAAGAATGCACCATGCTCTAGTGCTATTCTGTCCTATCCGCATTCATGGGGAATGTTCATCTTGGACGCGAGTAACATCGGAATAGGTGCCGTATTGTCACAGGTGCACGACAAGGAAGAAAAAGTCATCGAATACTTCAGCAGTGTACTTTCAAAACCTGAGAAGAACTACTGTGCCACGAGGAATGAGTTGTTGGCAATTGTCAGGACTGTTGATCATTTCCATAAATATCTGTATGGACGCAAATTCCTAATTAGAACCGATCACGCAACTCTTACATGGCTCCTTCGGATGAAGAATCCCAAAGGACAAGTAGTTAGATGGCTTGAACGACTCCAACAGTATCACTTCAAAATTCGACACAGGGCTGGTAAGCTTTAAAATAATGCGGACTCTTTGTCGGGAAGACCGTATAAGAACTGCAAAGACTGCGACAAGATGGCGCAACGCGAAACGTTCAACTGTGGAAGGACAGCAGTCGTAGAAGATGAAGAATGCACACAGCACATCTTAGAAAAGACCAAGAGGAGGAGGTTGATATCAGGCTGTTGCTCAAATGGAAAGAAGATGGGCCAGAACGGCCAGCTCGGTCGGAAATATCAGACGAGTCACCCTATTTTAAGGTGTTATGGGCTCAGTGGGACTCCCTGGGTGTCGAGAATGGATTGCTTAAGCGCGCGTGGGAGAGTCCGGACGGGAAACATACCACCATGCAGTTGGTGGTACCGGCCATTAGAACCAAGGAAGTACTTCGAGAAATGCACAATGGTCGAGAGGTGGTGCAAGAAATGTACGACCAGTGCGGCGGTCAAGGGGCCGAGGACTAGAGCGAGAGAGCCGATGCAACAATGCAACGTCGGTTCGCCTTTCGAAAGAATTGCAGTGGACCAGGTGACCGAGGTGACCGAGAATGGGAATAAGCACATAACGGTGGTCAGCTATTACTTCAGCAAATGGCCGAACCAAGAAGCCACGACGGTTATTTAATCCTGATTGACAACTGGATCAGCAGGTTTGGGGTCCCAATAATAATAATAACAATAATAATATATTTGTGCTTTTACATAATATCAATAAATGCTTGCACACGTCATTTCTTACAGATGTTATAGAATATAAAGTGACACCTTACTTAAGTACAATCACATCATTCAAAAATTCATGATAAGAGTAGTAACTTTTTGTGAGCAGAAACTTTTTGACAGTGTTTTTGAATAAATTAATATTATAAGTTTTTACGTGGATTGGCAGTTTATTATAAAATTTTTGACCCCAGTATGTAGCACTAACTCTGGAATTACATTCGGACCATGGCAGAAACTTCGAGTCAAACCTATTCCAAAGTGTTACTGAGGTCCTAGGGATACAGAAGACACGGTCTACGCCGTTGCACCCACAGCCAGATGGAATGGTAGAACGGTTCAATTGTACCATCGAAGAAAATCTTTCGAAGGTGATGGCCAAACATCAGAAAGATTGGGATCGACACCTTACACTGTTCTTACTGGCTTGTCGGTCAGCTGCCCATGACAGGATGGGTTAGACACCGGCGCGCATAGTTTTCGGAAGAGAACTTCGTCTGCTTTGTGACATTCTGTTCGGTTCACCGAGTGAAGAATCAAAGGAGGTGATCGAGTACGTCGATGACTTGAAGGAGAATCTGCTGGGCGTTCACGAAACGGTGCGCCACAAAATTCGGGTGGCGATTGACAGAATGAAAACACGTTACGACCTTAAAGCTAACTCAGTAGCATTCCAGGCAGGGGATTTAGCATGGCTCTATATTCTCCGAAGAAGAAAAGTCATTGCCCGAAATTGTCACTAGACTGGGGAGGTCCACCTACTGTCGTGACGAGAATCAAAGATGTTGTTCACAGAATTCGACGAAGGCCGAGGACGAAAATGAAGATTGTTCATTTAAACCGCCTCATGAAGTGACACCGTTGACGTTTCTGATCGGGACGATCAGAATTAAGGAGGGAGCAGTGCTATGAAATAAACCCATACGCCGCCCCGGTACGACGCCTATGGGTTCGAGTATGTACGGCGTTGATGACTCATCGTAATCAATAAATCGAAAACGATAAATGGATAAATCCAAGTGACACAACTAAACAACACAATAAGTGCCAGTGCTGACTGTGTTTTCAAGGCAACACATCTAAAGCTCATATGATTTTTTTCCAAGTATTCGAATTTCTAGAGTTCACTTATTATTTATAATAGTTATTTACAAGTGAGTAACCAATAATATACTTATTTAATAATACGTCGCGACTCACCAGTCATATCCTTTTGTCTGCCAATAAAGACCTTTTAACATGCTAGTAATGTTAAATACTATAATTTCTATGCCAACGATATTTAGTGTTTAATATTGGTGAAAAAAGGTTCATTAAATTTAAATAATCACTGGTCAACAAAATTTAATTTTTTCTCTCTAACTTTGAAATTGTTTTCGTTTAATTTGTCTCTGTGTTTGTAACAAAGAGCATAAATCTTATAACTTAGCTCAATTAAAAAAAATGCATATTTGCATATTAACAAAAGAACAACTATAATTAAGAAAAAAACAACGACTGTAGTTTAAAAAACGAAAAAAACAAAAGAAACAGCTAAGACCGACGTTTTTTCGGTTGCCTCCTATAGATTTTATTATTCTCGCTTGATGGTCCCGCAGTATTCTGCGAGCATTTTGGTGTTCCATCGATCTTGGTAACGTTTTTCTATCGACAAAATGACCAGATGGAAGCGTTCTCCATCTTCATCACTCACGTTGTCACAATTTTTGGGGAAAAAATCAAGGTGCGAATGCATAAAATGCACTTTAAAAAAAATGATAACATGTTTTCTACTAACTAAACGTAGTTTTCTTAGTGTTTCCCAAGAAGTTTGTACCAATTTGATAACAAAAAAATACACCTTATAGAAAGGTTCCTATTACTTAATAAGAGTACGATTTTCGTATTTTTCAAAGGATAATATTTTAAGATTACTTTTAAATGAGAGCTAAGTTTTGGTTTAGCCGTTTATAATACACACCTCAAAAAAATTAACGAAACACGTTGTTTTTGCGAATTTACTATAAGAGATGCTCCTGTAGGCAACTGTAGCATTTACAGTGAAGTAAAATAAAGACAAAACGAGCAAAAACAAAATTTACTACCAGAAGTTGGTCTTTTATCTTAGCCATTAAATGTTAATAACAATCCAACACAAACAAAAGTCAAGTTAATACGAAGTATTTCCATCTCTAGCTCTAATAACAGCCTACATTAGTCGAGGCATACTCTCGATTAAACCCCTAATGTACTCTTACGGAAGATATTCCCACTCTTGCACGATGGCATTCTAGATGGCATTAAAGTCTCCAAGAACCAATCTGCGCTCCTTTATCCTCAGTTTCACATAGTCCCATACATGTTCAGTGTGGTTCATATCGAGAGTCCTGGCTGGCCGTGGTAGAAGCAGAATTTCAACCTCTTCTAAATATCGTTGCACAATGTGAACTGTATGAGGCCGCGCATTATCGTGCATATATGTAAAATTTAGCCCTATGTAGGCTCCACAGGGCATAACATGAGGTTCCAAAATATCAGTAATATACCGTGTAGCTGTTAAACGAGCTCCTGGTAGCGCCACCAATTCAGTATGTCCGGTGTAGGAAATGCCACCCCAAAACATTATAGAGCTTCCTCCAAAATTCATTTGTAGAAGAATATTGGTAGGCAAATATCGCTTGCCAGGTCGTCTGTACATCGGCATACGACGATCTGAGGAATACAGCCAAAAACGAGATTCGTCTGCAAACAGTATATTGCTTCAATCCTCGACATTCCAATGCTGATGATTTAGCGCAAAGTTTAAGCGCGCTACCTTGTGTGCCCTGGTGAGCAAGGATGCTTTGGGAGGTACTCTTGGACGCATACCAACTTCTCGCAAACGATTTCGTTCTGTCTGAGTACCCAGCACCACATCGCGAGCAGTTAAAATCTCTTTTTGGAGCATTTTTGCTGTGCAGTGTCGCGACCTGAGTACTGTTAAGCGCAAAAATCGGTCATCTCGTTGTGATGTTTTCCGTTTACGACCTTGTCCTAGTCTTCTATTCATGCTTCCAGTACTTTGATAATTTTGCATTAGTTTAGAAATGGTCGAACGATCAACGCCCAGCAGATTGACCACAGCGTTGGGTCTAACCATCTTCAATCAAAGCTACAGCCCGGATGGCCGCTTCTTCGATAAATTACGCGTAATGCGATTAGGAACATTCATTATAAGCGAAAATGACGTTTTCACTTCAAACATTTCACAACCATGTGATTTAGAATTGGATCTAAGGGTACCATGATAAGATACTTTCTTTCTTTTAATAGATCCACCAGTTACAAATGATAAGGAACTTTTTTTTGCGTAGATGAAACAAAATTCCTTCTAACTAATCATAAGGCATGTTTTTTAGTATCTTTTTGTAATTTTTTCAGATGTTATTAACAAATTTGAAATGTTGCGTTAATTTTTTTGAGGTGTGTATTATTTAAAATTGTTGATTAAATAATAATTGACCAATATTATAAAAGTTAGAGCTTAGCTGTTGACCAATTTGGTAAAATTTAATTTATTTAATATATTTGCAGATTGTCTCAACAAGGCAGGAGTTCATCACAAAGACAAATTTTTTCACGGTTGTCAATCACCGAAACTACTTTTACTAAAAAGAAGTCTTTGGATCAAAACACCGTAGATCGACCAGAACTAAGTGAAGCCGAATGTGACATAGATACAATCAAGAAAATTAAATTAGGTTTGAAATCTTCTCTTTGGTCTAAACCTAGTAATTCTGGGCAAGCAACAGATTATTCCATTGCAGTTTAATTTGTTATAGATATGAATCAAAATTTTATACAAAAAATTAAAATGTAAGTGACCAGTTTATGTTTTTTTTGTCACAGCAAGAGGTAAGTAACCATTGAGAATATTACCAATGAATAACCATCCGTAAATCTTATAATTTTTACAGTGCGAATACTCTCTTTATAGTAATTACATTTTATCAAAGCTTCAGTCATTAAAAACAAAAAATACAATCCATATTTTGAAATTATAATCCCTACAGAAAGATGCACCATTAGTCATTATACCGGGTGTCTGGAAAATGGCGGATTAACTCTCCGCTACGCTCTTAACAATCAACTGGTGAGTCTGGGAAAAATAGTAAAAAAAATTTTTCGCACATTTTGGTGAAGTTATAATGATTTTAAAATTGGTTCTTTTGCAACTTTTAACAACTAAACAACTCATTCATTATCAGAATAACTAGTAGTAAAACTTTTAGTTAATATTTTGCTCGCCCATGACCATGTTTAATTACCATTTTAGTTAGAATGCACAAAGATATGGCTGTGTTGTTTTTGTAATAATTTGATAAAATTCCATTTGACAACAATGTTTGCCTGATATAAAGCGAAGGTGGATTTCAGTTACCATCGTTACTAAGAAACCAGAAAGTAAGCCGGAGGTATTCACGCATTAGGTGTGGACAGTGTTGCCAAATTTACTTTTATAAAATCACGTTTTTTTCGTAATCTACATTATAAAGAATTTTTTTATTATTTTTTTGGAATTCCCGAAACCCCCGTATATAAGGCACTGAAGAGTTAATCCGCCATTTTCGAGACAGCCGGTATATCTATGTTACCTTAATATTGTTACGATGATCGGTGAATAAAATCGGTGTGGGTAAAACTCAACAATTCAAATATTAATAACTCAAATTACACGAGTAACTATTACAGCGATTATGTACAGAATAACTCCGTAGTTCACTCAACTCGACTTAGTGACTGGACTGCTGAATTGGCTGAATAATTCTCTATTTAAAGCCATACTCTCCTTCTAGAAGTTTCATGATATAGGTCTTTCTGGAATCTATCGCGACTTCCGTTTCCAGGCGTTTCTCCAGCGAGCGCCAGCCGCTGTCCTCGACGATGAGTCATCTCCGTATACATTAGAAAGTTCTTGACGGCCCATAGGCGTTGTACTGGGACGGCGCTTGTGTTTATTTCGTAACATTGCCCACGCATAAGTTCTGATCGTCCCGATCAGAAACGTCGACGATGTCGCTGTTGTACTTCATCAGGCGGTCCAAATGAACGATCTTCATTTTCGTCTTCGGCCCTCGTCGGATTCTGTAAACGATATCGTTGATTCTCGTTACTACAGTATATGGACCTTCCCAGTCTGATGACAACTTCGGGTACCGACCTTTCCTTCGTCGGGGATTATAAAGCCATACCAAATCCCCTGCCTGGAATCCTACTGAGTTACCCTTAAAGTCGTAGCGTGTTTTCATTCTGTCACTCGCCACCCGGATCTTGTGCCGTACCGTTTCGTGATTGGTCAGCACCTTGTGCTTCAAGTCATCGACGTAATCTATGACCTCCTTTAGTTCTTCACTCGGAGAGCCGAACAAGATGTCACAAGGTAGACAAAATTCTCTTCCGAAAACTATCCGCGCCGGTGTCTGACCCGTCGTGTCATGGACATCTGATCGATGAGCCAGTAGGAACAGTGGAAGATGTAGATCCCAATCTTTCTGATGTTCGGCGACCACATTCGAAACATGTTTTTCCATGGTACGATTGAACCGTTCCTCCATTCCATCTGACTGATGGTGCAGCGGTGTAGTCAGTGTCTTCCGTATACCTATTACTTCAGTAACCATTTTGAATATGTTTGACTCGAAGTTTCTGCTTTGATCCGAATGGAGAATTCCATTGGGACCCCAAACCTGCTGATCCATTTGTCAATCAGCGTTGTTGCAACCGTCGTGGCTTCTTGATTCCGTAATCGCTGACGATCATTATGCACTTATTTCCGTACTCGGTCACCGGGAACGGACCCGCTATGTCCACTGCAATTCTTTCGAAAGGCGAACCGACGTTGCATTGTTGCATCGGCCCTCTCGCCCTAGTCCTTGGTCACTCTCGCACAGGTCGTACATTTCTTGCACCAGTTCTTCACATCTTCTCGACAACGAACCCAGTAGAATCTCTCCCTGACTTTAGAAACCGTCTTGTTAATTCCAAAATGAGCAGCAGAACCACCGTTGTGCATTTCTCGAAGTACTTCCTTGGTTTTAATGGCCGGAACTACCAACTGCATGGTGGTATGTTTTCCATCCGGACTCTCCCAAACTCGCTTAAGCATTCTCGACATGCAGAGACTTCAACTAAGTCCATAACGCATTGAAAGAGGGTGACTCATCTGATATTTCCGACCAAGTTGGCCGTTTTGCCCCATCTTCTCTCCATTTGAGCAACAGCCTGATATCATCCTCCTCCTCTTGGTTTTTTCTAAGATGTGCTGTAGTGCATTCTTCATCTTCTACGACTACTGTCCTTCCACAGTTGAACGTTTCACGTTGCGCCATCTTGTCGCAGTCTTTGCAGTTCTTATACGGTCTTCTCGACAAAGAGTCCGCATTATTTTAAAGTTTACCAGCCCTGTGTCGAATTTTGAAGTGATACTGTCGAAGTCGTTCAAACCATCTAGCCACTTGTCCTTCAGAATTCTTTATATGAAGGAGCCTTGTAACGGCTACGTGATCAGTTCTAATCAGGAATTTGCGTCCATACAGATATTTGTGGAAATGTTCAATAGCCCTGACAACTGCCAGCAACTCCTTCCTCGTGGCACGGTAGTCCTCTTCGGGTTTGGAAAGTACGCTGCTGAAGTACTCGATGACTCTTTCTTCTTTTTCAATGTTTTCAAGGCTGCCTCAGATTCAGCAGTCCAATTAATTGAGACTTCAAATTCGTCAGTCTGTGCAGAGAAGCAGCAATATCAGCAAACCAGTTGACAAACCTTATAGTATGTGCACAATCCCAACAAACTCCGGACTTCGTGCTTATCTCTTGGTCTTGGCCAATCGCGAATTGCCCTAATTTTCGTTTCGATAGTCTTGATCCCGTTTGCCGAAACAGTATGCCCCAGAAATTCTACTTCTTTTTGGAAAAGGAGGCATTTCTTCGGATTCAGCTTCAAGTTGACCTACTTTATTCGACTAGATACTGCTTCCAAGTTGGTCAAGTGCTCCTCAAATGTCTTTCCTATTACCATGATGTCGTATAAATTAAGCAAACATGTTTTTAATGTTAGCCTTCGTAATACCATCTCCATTAGTCTCTCAAGTAGCCGGAGCATTACACAGTCCAAAAGGCATTCCTGTAAATTGATACAAGTAGCTTCCGGCTGAAAAAGCGGTTTTTTCCTCATCTTCTGGATGAATATCAGCTTGCCAGTAGCTGCTTCTTAGGACTAGCGTGGAAAACCAGGCGGATCCTGATAACCTTGTGAGCGTGTCATTAATTCGTGGAAGCAGGTGACTGTCCTTCTTGGTTACATCGTTTAGTTTCCTGTAGCCTACGCAAAATCTCGTCGATCCATCATTTTTGTAACTAGCCCCACATGCGAATACCTTGGACTGTTTTATTCCTCTATAACACCTTTGTCCAACATTTTTCGTACCCGTTCGTCGGCTTCCTCTTGTTTTGCCAAAGGTAGTCTTCGTGGGGCTTCACGGATCGGTTCCGCGTCTCCAGTATTTATTCGGTGTCGCACCATGTTTGTGCGCCCAGAGCACTGTCCAGAGGCAAATATTCCATTGTGTTTCTGTAGAAAATCTTTTGCCACTTTCCGCTGATGTTCGGTTAGACGACTAAGCTCTAGGGCTTAGTCGTCTACTAAGTTGTTAAGTTGCTTCTTATTTCTTCATCATTGTTGTCAGAAAGATCTTTATGATGAAATATCTTCATGACTGGCTTTGGGGAAAACATTTGCGACGCGTACAGGTATGTCACAATCGGTATTAACTAAAACACTCGCAATCATGAGATTCTTCTTGGGGCTGTGCGGTTGTTGAATAATGCCGAGAGTAAATCGGGGTTTGAATGCTGTTCTGACTGGAACAATCGTTTTTGCATTCGATCTAACTTGCACATTCTGGCACGCGATCAGTCTTACAGGCTTGGATTCAATACTGCGCTGATTCAGAAAAAACTCTTCATTGCCAAGACATAGGACCTTCTCCACTGAATCGACCGTCAGTCCATGGCAGCTAATCAAATCAATTTCCAAAATAAAGTTGTCTTCAATGTTAGCCACGAGAACCCGATATTTTATCTTCAGCTGACCAATGCAGATTTCTACCTCTGTTTCACCCATAATTGCCGTCGACTATCCAGTTACGATCTTCAATCTGATTGTTTCTTAATAGTCCTTAGATCTTTAGCTCCCAAGAATCCTCTACGTAGGATTGAGACTTCAGCTCCAGTATCGATCGTGATTGCCACGCAATTCCCATTAATCTTCCCCGGTATAGTTGGACTACTGCCTTTGGTGAAACTGCCTATTTTCACTTCCCTGGGGGCCTTATTCGTACCAGCCAGTACATGCCCCAAAGTGCCAGCTGTTTTTAGTTTTCTTTTTCTTGTACATTTCGTTGAGGAGATCTGTGTTGTGTGCTTCTCCTTGGAGCTGGTAATCGAGCACGACAATCACGCTTGAGATGTCCCTGACGCGCAGATCTATAACATTCCATGCTTTTTTTAGGAAACGCACTGTTGTCTCTTCTCTTTCTGACTTGTCGTTTTCTCCTCTCTCTAATTCTGCAACTCTAACTTTGTGGCATGTTCTTGAAGATTTGTAAGCCACCTCCATTTCCAATGCGAGAATCAGGGAATCAGATGTTTGATAACTCGATACTTGTAGGATCTTCTTAACTGTCGCGAATCCGATTTACAAAGGTTACTATCGCAAGCTCATCTTGAACAGATGGTGGTGCGTCGGGGTATGCAAGACATACCAGTCTCTTAACGTCTACTTCAAATTCTTGAAGAGATTCTCCAACTTTCTGGGTTCTTGTTTTTCCTTGGGTTGTTTCCTTGTTTCAAATGTTCATCTCCAAATCGAAGTTCCAGAGCGGCAGTTAAGGCACTATATCTGTTTCTATCTTCTTCGGATAGAGTTTGAAGTATCTTCAGGGCTGCGCACGCAAAGCTATTACCAATGCTGTCGCTTTTTGCTCTTCTTCCCAAAGATTTGCCGTCGTTGTTGCCAGATGTTGCTGCATTTTTAATTATTTTTTTGAATTTCTTCAGTTTACCTTCCATCCGATCTTCCATAGATTTCATTCGATCTTCATAGCTTTCATTTGTTTTTTAATTTCTTCTACTACGTTCTTGTTTGCTTCCACTTCCCTTTGAAATTTTTCGGTTAGGCTGATTTGTTTATTTATTTTCATTTCCATTTTTCCGTTCAGTTCTTCTGTCGT